GTATTTTAGGTACAATTTAAAGATTCGGGAGTTTCAACGGATAGAAACGAGCAAAAAAAGAGTCAAAAGCGGGCAAAAACGGAAGAAAACAATCGGAAGCTGAAAATTGGACAGGCACGGCCGTGGGAAAAATAGGCTATTTCTGGCACGATCGTGTCAACTGCAAAATTTAGGCAGAAAGCTTCGAAATTTGAGACGGCCGTGCGAGATTTGTACTGATTTTCACACTGCCGTGTGAAAACACGCGAAAAAGCAATCTTGGAGTTTTAATCACACAAGGAAACTCATATCTTCTACCAAGTCAGAGCATATATTTAAGGGCAAAGACAAGCACGAATTAGTCACACTTTTACACAATCATAAAGCAAGAAGAGCGAGAGAATAGAGAATCGAAGACGAAGACCTGACGAATCTTCATCATAGTTGTTCATTTATTTCTCTTTCCGAAATCTATGTATTTTATTATTTTTATGATGTTTTCGCTTAAGAACATGAGTAGCTAAACTTTTAATCTAGGATTTTATTGGAACCCTATGTGGTGATTTGAACCTATTTTTCTAATATTATGCAAGTTTAATTCCATGATTATTTCTTCTATTTGGTCTTATTTAGTGCATGAATCTAGCTAATTTATATTGCTATGTGTTATTGTAAGAATTGAATCAACAGATCGTTCTAATAACAAGAACATGGATAAAAGAGCATTCAAGTAGTTTTTACCAGATTAGTGTGTTAATTGCATGTGTTTTCGTAGACATACAGATATCACATTAGGTAGCCGTTTACGAGAATTGTTAGTTAATGCTATCTTTATAATTGGTTTACAGACATATAGTGAACCGTTTATGAATAATAGACTTATAATACACGCGACATCGGGTTATGAGTAATTTAGTGTCTCGGGTTAATAATCAGGAATCGTAACTTGCGTGATAGAGTTTAATTGGGTGATGAATTATCGCATGGGGAAGATAAAATCCTAGGTCCGTTTCTATTGATATCTTATCGTATTTATTTTCTTTCTTAGTTAGTTTAATTATTTAGTTGATATTACTTGATAACCTTGCGTAGGCTGGATAAAAATCATAATTTTTAGAATTCATTACTTAGGATTAGGTAATTTGAGTATTCCATGTGGGATTGACATCCAACTCTCACGATTCCACTTATACTACTTGTTTCCAATACATGCACTTGTGTGTTAGGTATTTAGCCCAACAAGTTTTTGGCGCCATTGCAGGGGAATACAACTAAATTGTCTATTTATTCTGATATCGAGTTTGAACAATTTTTCTTACTTTAGCCATTTTATTTTTATTTTTCTTTTTGATTTTTTCTTTTTGATTTTTTTTCTTTTTGATTTTTTTTCTTTTTGATTTTTTTTCTTTTTGATTTTTTCTGTGTTAGATGTCAGGTTACAATGTTCGTGCACCTCAAACGGGATATGAATGGCTTCCATCTGGCGAATACCTCCAAAACACCTATAATATGCCTCCATTTTGTTCAACATGTGGTGAAAATCATTAACCGATCAATGTTGGGAATAACCAAAAGCAACGAACTTCATCAAAATTACCAACAGAGATTATTGGAACACATACACCAATCCATACGAGAAAAGCTTTCAGGACACAAATTTTCAACGAATTTCAACATAGAGAACCACAATTTTATGATTTTCAAAATTATTATCCAATGCAGCAACAAAGCATTAATGAACAACTTGATTAGAAATCCCTCATTGCCGAATTCATGAAGTCCACTCAAACATCATTTTAAAACATGGAGATACAATTGGAAGAGATATCACTCAAATTAAAATCCGAGTCTCTGGAAAATATTCCAGACGATATCGACGATGGTTGTATCAAAGAAAATTCCGGTGAAGCATGCGGGAAGACAAATCTACTATGTCCAAAAAATAGTGTTGTTAAGAGAGAAATAAAAATTACAAATACACTTGACCATGATGAATTTGATAATGCAATCGTGTTAGACCCCGAAGAGGCCTAAAAAACAAGAAGGATATGGATGTAATGATTGAAGATATTCTAGTTGTGGACCCTATCATTGTTTCAAAATGGATTTGAAGGCTTCAATAGTAGTTGTTGAGAAGGCTAGTGTGTTTGAGGTGAAGGTTATACGCAAACTGGAGATTTTTGTATACCGATTTGAGGAAGCGAATGACGAAGCTCCTACCTTAGTATTGTACCGACTGCTTATTAAGAGAAAAGGGTACCAGCTAAGGTGGATGTAGACACTGACATATTGCAACTCTATCCATGCATTAGTTGAAAGAGATGTAGAGAAAACAAATGGATGGATGTGCAATTTACAAGGTTTTGGATTGGACATAACAGTTCCGAAGAAGCAAAGCCTGGCTGAAGACTAAAAACTTAGCGCTTCTCGGGAGGCAACCCGAGCATTTATCGTTTTTCTTATTTTCTTTTGTTTATATTTTTTCTTAGGATTTTAATAAGCATGCAAATTAATAATTTAATCTTGTTTTAATTTTCAGGTCGAAAATCAAACATTAAGTGATTGGACGTTAAAGGTGGAGCAAACGAACATCAAAGAGTGCATCCCACATCAAAGAGTGAATCCTAGAGAAGAACCTTACGACTAGTCAGATGTTTTCTATCCTTTAAATTCATGGGAATTACATTGAGGGCAATGTAAATTTGAAGTCTGGGGGTGAAAAATTACTTGCTTTTCTGTGCTTTAGTTGTTTGTTAGTTTACATGCCTTAGGATTTTTATTTTAACCTTAGTTGTTTTTTTCGCTTATTTATTGCTTTTAAAAAAAATTGTGGTTAAGATAAATGTTTCGACGAATCATGATGATGAAAGATGGTTGGTGTTTAATGATGAAATTGCTTGCTTTGTCTTGATTATGATTTAATTTTGGTGAGCTTTCGATTCAAAGTGTCGTAGGAATGAGTCATTGTCAGAAATCACGAATTGTAGCGCCCCGCCCCGAGTAGCAGGCACCTCGTGGCGGAACACCACTCAACATGCAGTACATTCAATGACCCCAAATATGCTCCTCAAAATTGCAATGATCAAAACATTAAACCCCCAATATCTATACCATCGTGTTTACAAAAGGAGGTTCTATTACAAGTCGACTTCGACACCACTTACTCTATTACAAAATTCTCGATCAAAGGATTCCTATACGGAACATAAATAGAGATACCTCTCGACGAGACTAATCGGAGGCATACACGAGCTTTAACTCTTAGTATGAAAATTTAGGTATAAATCTTTCTTTTACCTGCGCATTAATATCAGAAAGGAGAAACGAATAAGTCCGAATGACTTAGTGAAAAACATATGATCCATGAGTATGATGAGAATCAACAAAACAGAACATATAACGAGAGACTTTACAAGAATTTCATTAATAGAAGTGTAACATGTACAAGAGTGTAACATGTACGGCTTGAGTTCAATGTTTGGTGGGGTCTCCAACCTTGTAACTCCCAACAAATAAAATCATATCACATCCTTATCCCTCCAATCCGTCCCGAGTGGCCACTCGGTCGGAAACAGGCAGGAGGCACGACCGGAACGTGCCGATCCGGCTCAGGAACGTTTAACTCCAAACGAACGTGAGTCCGAACCATCAGGAGGTACCATTCGGGAGACCAGTCATCGTCAGCCCAATACTGCCCGATCGTCTTGCCGAAATGGTCCTAGGGCCCAGCTCCCCCAAGAGCGTCCTCAAGGGTGGGGACAGTAGGTTCAAGAATCAATATCATTCCTTTTAGGAATATCAAGTCATTCATTTCAAGAATCAAGTCAATCATTCACAAGATAAGTCACGATCATGATAATTGAATATCAAGTCTCAGGATAATGAACATGTTCAGATTTCAATTCAAGCCAATGAAGAATTGTCGTGAATATGGAATTCAAGAATTCAAGAAGAACAATAAATTCCATGTCAGGTTCCAAGAACGAGTATATCAAGATCTCAATGAATTCAATAAACATGAGATTCAAGTTCGAGCCAACAAAATATTTATTCTCGGAAAGCATTCAATCGGAAAGCATTCAAGACAAGATTTTGAGAATAAATATTATTCAATATCGATTCAAGGAAAATGTTCGGGCCAAGGAATCAAGTATAGGAATTAGCCGTGAACATAGCAACCAAGAGAATTGACAAGTTCAAGATTTCAAGAACAAGATCAAGGTTCCAAGTTCGAGCCAAGGAAACGAATATGCTCGCAGAACATTAAGGATCATATTCCAAGAAAAATATAATCAATGCATCAAAGGATTCAAGATGGAGAATATATTTGGTTCAAACAAAGGAGATATTAAGCGCAGGAAAGAAATCGGATAAGGGGTCATAGTTTCTCACCTGGAGTCCAATGCTAGTTCTATAGGTGCATCTTTAAGCTTAAACCTTGAGTGAGAGCTTTAGTACGCTCGACACCTATAAACATATTCATCACTTAACAAGATTCCAAATGCTAATATAATCGTATTATTCTACTATATCACATAGTCAATTTCTTAAACATATACTAAGAATTGCTTCTCGCGACAATTTATTCAAATAATCACTGCGGTCGTCGTACTTATCCGAATGACCTAAACGATATATCGAATTAAAGCTAACATCAGTGTCTACAGGTTTACTGAAGACTCTGAGCCCAAATTATCGACCTAACACAGTAATAACAGCCTCGGAAGCTGAGTACATGAAACTGCCAGGTTTTTTTTGGAAAATTTGTTGTTGGCACAGTTTGTTTGAAAAATCATAACAATTAGCATGCTAATCCAAATTGATCACATGATACGTCAAATGAAAGCTAACAGAAAATCCTACGAGTTCACAGAAGGCTTTGATCACAAATTATGATCCCAACATATTCAAAACAGCCCCAAAAGATGACTACAGAAAACTGCCAGAATTTCGGATAAATTCTGTTTTCTGGTACAGTTTTGTAAAATTCATAACTATTTGTAAAGTTATCCAAATTGCCTAAATAATACATCAAATGAAACCTTACAACTTAATCTACAAGTTTTATGAAGGCACAGAGCCCAAATTATGATCCCAACATATCGAAAACAGTCCCGCAAGAAGATACTCAAAACTGCCCTGTTTCCGGCAGATTACTGTCATCGGATTCCGACCTCTAAAACACGTATATTAAATACTGTGAGAGCTTTAGTACGCTCGACACTTATATTTTACGATGTCCTCTACGAGTTTCCTGAAGGAACTGATTCGAAATTCGCATTCGAAACCCTTTGATTTCGGCTCCGAAAACAGGTGCGGCAGCAGGTTTTGCTTCCCCAAAATCGCAGCGAGCAGGCTGACTTCTCAGCAAACTCCGGGGACCGCCGCCCGTGCAAACCATCAAGAACCACGACCAATAGAGAGCCAAACTCATTAGCTTTCTAACGATGGATCTTGATCAACGAGGTTCAATCTCAAGGCCTCTAAACAATTATTTCTTTGAAGGCCTAACTGCTGAAATTCGAATTATAAGTGACAACTTGTCTTCTTCGCCGGATTCCGGCTGCTGGAAATAGAACACCATCTCAGCCCCGTATCTTTCAACCATGTTGCTATTTTAAGATTTCTAGATTTACTAATTTAAAAATCAGAAGAACAAAGGTTCTAAAGGGGTGCTCGGCCGTGAGTTTTCATGGAGAAAGGAAGATACCATGAATATTGCTATTGCTAGAACTGTTAAATGAACGAGATAAAGATTGGTTAATTAAGAAAAGAGAGAGTGAAGAGATGAAGATGGAGAGAGAGAGAGAGGCGGTGAGAAGGTGAGAGAAGAAGAAGAAACGTGGCTGCCAAAGGAGTATTGTGAATTGACGATATACACGTCAATTCCTATCTCAACAATAAATTATGAAAATTGGCTATAAGGCCAAATTGTTTTCTTAATTACCAAATAGATGCCATAACTTTAGATAATTACAATTCTACACTTCCCATCAAATTCGAGATATATTATAATTCCATATCGACACATATCAACTAAATAAATTCTATTATCCCCACACTTAAACAACTTACATATTTACGGGGTGTTACACTCTTCCTTCCTTAATAGAATCTGGTCCCCAGATTCTCAACTATTATTCAAACATGGAAATACAATTTCCTAAAATTCTTTTCGTGCTCATCGGTCGCTTCTTCAACGTGGTGGTTTCTCCATAACACTTTCAAATCTTGTGATTGAAGAATTCATTATCATGATAGATATCACTTGAGCGTATAATCTCTAGCAAGTAATGAAAGTTGGTGCCGACAATAGGAACCGATTTCTATTCATGTGATTATTTATCTTCAAGCCATGTCGCTTCAATGAATAATATCCGAAATCGATCAAAATGGTGTTAGCTTAGTCGGTATACCTAAAACATATCATAAATTGTATCCTTAACGATCTATATGTTCCAAACTTGGTATTGACTTAAGTAACGAGTTAAACTACTATCGTAATGAATTCGAAATTACTTATTCAATTCAAATCTGAGGTAGTACTAGGAAGTACTTCTTGTGGAACCTTAATATCCGCGGCACCATTAGCAATACCGTACAGTTCATCGGTCTCATACTCGATGTAGCCTTACTGTTGAGCAAAATGCTAAATATTTCTAACGTTATAGAAGTTGAAGGCCGAGATACAGTTCGTCAACCAATTAATGGGAATTGTGAGGTACATCAACTATGAGGAAACAATCGAGTTAGGGTTGTAGCTAGAGTGCTACAAATGGTCTGATGAGAGGAATGAAAGGGATTAATAAGGGGTCTTATATCGTTCGAATCATTAAATCTCTCCCTAGTTATCCGTGTCACATTCTTCAAGAGAACGTGTTTCTTCTCATCCGTTTCGCTCGAACCTTCGTGGTAATTAGAATTATATATCTAGCTCCACATATGTATAACTCTTTTGAAAATCACTTGTAGACTTTGATCTTTATTCGATAAGTCGAACTTAACCAGCAGCATTCACTATGATCTCCAATCACCACCCCTTCTGTTTGCTATCGTTGGTTATTCGCCGCTCATCTAGTCTGGAATTGCAAGCTTAATTGACACTTTATTCCATGAACACTGCGAAAATGTTTGTATTCCAGCTTGATAGGTTCCCAATCATCACGATAATATGCGCTATACATTCTCAATGTAACTTCAATTTGTCCAGTCACCCACTTAAATGATAAGTTAGTTTTGAGAACGTTTCTCGTACCGAGCTGAAATTTTGTCCCATATCGCAGATAGTTGCTTTCATAAGAACGAGATGACTCATAATCTATATCGAGACAATGTGAGTTGGCTACAAGAGATAGATTTCGGATCTAAATTATCTTCAGCAGACAAAGAGGCAACTACTCTCCCGGTCCACAAAATTCTCTTCTCATTGGCCTACATAAAGTGGAATTGAATGCACCATAATTATAATCAAAGAGGACGGCGAAGCCTGATTTACTTATGGTGATTTACTTATGGTATCAACATTGGACACTATAAGGGCTTGAATATAGATGGAGTTCACAAAGAAAAGGTTTTCGAACAGTAGGTCGACCAGGCAACGGTTGATGGAAGAGACTTTTACTTCTAAAATCAAGAGTAATTGAAGGTGGCAACGGTTGATACAATCTTCCCGTGGTTTCGCAACCGCATGCCTAATAAATACTTATCGTAGAGAAGTCATGACTCAGAATATCCGACAATTGAGTAGTCTTAATTTCATTCAATTCACTACCATTTCAAGATAGGTCAACTAGTCTAATGTCATTCTTCGATACTAAGTACGCTCTAATCACGTCCGAAACAGTATACACACTATGTCTAGTAATGTCCATGGTGAATTACTTCAACCAAACGACATGACGGGCAAAACTTATTTATAGCAAGTTGAACATGCAAGCCGAATTCTTGCAGTTGTCGTTCCCATCTTACAAAGAAAAGTGCAATCATCTACGGTGTTATTGACAAAGGTGTTCTACTTTAAACTTCTTCTCCACATAGCACTTAGCTCTTCATATTAACCGAATAGAATTGCAAAAACTGATAATCTAATGTCAAGATATAGCCGAGTTATCGGATACTAGGGACTCTAGAGGTGGCTCATGCAAGATTAAGAAGTGGCTCCCGCTGTGTAGCACTTTGTCCCGCAGGTTCAAGAGGTGGCTCCCACACCGTAGCACTTTGCCCTGCATAGCACTTAGCTCCCTGTACCCTGACGATTAGAATCAAGAATTCAAGTGCTCAAGATACCTTAAGAGTCAACAAACTCTATACAATTTCTAAGTCGTGATAACTACATAACCCTTTTCCGTCGAGTAAGATAATCGTCGAAACTATTCCAGGTCGAATTCATAAGATGATATAACAATAGATGCATACAACCGTAGTCATATTACACGACATTGCCCAAACAAGGTCCATACTTTTACCCTGAATTAACAATAATCATGGCCTATGAGTGAGAGGGAACAACAGGAAGCGATATGAAGAAGTCGAATCACAAGGTTTCAAAGGGATAAGAAAACTCACACAATAGGCTATCCAAATCAAGAAGTATTAAATGAGATGAGGAATCTCAAAAAGAACATAACAAGAATATGGAAGCATTCAAACAAGATCAAACACCTCACTCATGATCAATAATGGGAAGGAAGTAAGATAGTCAAGCAATATTGTATACAAGAATCAGATACCTGAGAAAGTAGGTAACCGAGATGCCGAAGTATAGAAATGAGATAAGGAGTTTTGAAATGGGATATGGGATTATCATTGTGATCAATAATAACAATGGAGCAAACACATGTACAAGAATTGAATTTTGAGGCCAAAAGAACAAGAACCTCAAAAATAGGTAGAAAGATTGACCCGACATTAGAATAATAACAATGGTATAGCCAAATGAAACGAGAATAGGGACCTCAAAAGTATGTAACCAAAATCACGAGATTTTCAAGGAAATTGGAACACTGAAAATTGAGTAGTATAGATTGAGTAAAGCAATATTCGAGGAAATAAAAGTCTCGACAAATAGATTAGCCGAAACTATAGTGTTCAAAGAGATACAAAAACTCACAATCAGGTAGATGAAAGCAGATGGTAATAGAATAAAGTAAGAAGCCTCAGAAGAACATGACCAAAGTCATGACGTATTCAAAATAATTGGATCACTAAAGATGGAGTGAACTCGATAAGAAGTCTCGGCAAATAGATAAGCCAAAACCATAGAATATTTAAAAAAGAAAGAAGATGGAGATGGTAGCACATAAGGTAAGGGCTTCAAAACAAGAGATAATCCAAACCATGCGGAATTTGAAGGGGTACGAAACCTCATAAAATTGGTAACTAAGACTATGAGGTATTAAAATGAGATAAGAGAATCAATTACGATCAACAAATGAAATTAGACAATATAGGCCAACGAATCAAAATTGAATTCATTGGAATGACAAGGAGTGAACAAAAGAACTCCCGAATATTTGGTTCACCGTAATTCAATATTCAAACTGAGATAATATGGTTTCGATAAGGAAGTCAAGTTATGAAGTAAAATGGAATGGGACGTCTACAAGAAAAGGTGTTACCAAATTCAAGTGAGACTAGAAACCTCACTCGTGATCAACATTGGAGAATTGGGAGAATTGGAAGCCAATTGAAGTAACCAAATAGATAAGCCGTCTCAGGTTGTGTATGATAGATATTTCTACGGGTTATTCCTCACTATCTACACGCTAAAGAATTATCTCAATGCTTCTATGACTCGAAAACTGCCAATCACAATTTAGCCCAAGATTCAATTCATAGCTCTACAATTCTCAAAGATCCCTTTCCATTACCGCCCGGGCATCCAACCCAAAGCCAACCCAAAGCTTTACCAACCCAAAGCTCTGATACCACCTGTAGCGCCCCGCCCCGAGTAGCAGGCACCTCGTGGCGGAACACCACTCAACATGCAGTACATTCAATGACCCCAAATATGCTCCTCAAAATTGCAATGATCAAAACATTAAACCCCCAATATCTATACCATCGTGTTTACAAAAGGAGGTTCTATTACAAGTCGACTTCGACACCACTTACTCTATTACAAAATTCTCGATCAAAGGATTCCTATACGGAACATAAATAGAGATACCTCTCGACGAGACTAATCGGAGGCATACACGAGCTTTAACTCTTAGTATGAAAATTTAGGTATAAATCTTTCTTTTACCTGCGCATTAATATCAGAAAGGAGAAACGAATAAGTCCGAATGACTTAGTGAAAAACATATGATCCATGAGTATGATGAGAATCAACAAAACAGAACATATAACGAGAGACTTTACAAGAATTTCATTAATAGAAGTGTAACATGTACAAGAGTGTAACATGTACGGCTTGAGTTCAATGTTTGGTGGGGTCTCCAACCTTGTAACTCCCAACAAATAAAATCATATCACATCCTTATCCCTCCAATCCGTCCCGAGTGGCCACTCGGTCGGAAACAGGCAGGAGGCACGACCGGAACGTGCCGATCCGGCTCAGGAACGTTTAACTCCAAACGAACGTGAGTCCGAACCATCAGGAGGTACCATTCGGGAGACCAGTCATCGTCAGCCCAATACTGCCCGATCGTCTTGCCGAAATGGTCCTAGGGCCCAGCTCCCCCAAGAGCGTCCTCAAGGGTGGGGACAGTAGGTTCAAGAATCAATATCATTCCTTTTAGGAATATCAAGTCATTCATTTCAAGAATCAAGTCAATCATTCACAAGATAAGTCACGATCATGATAATTGAATATCAAGTCTCAGGATAATGAACATGTTCAGATTTCAATTCAAGCCAATGAAGAATTGTCGTGAATATGGAATTCAAGAATTCAAGAAGAACAATAAATTCCATGTCAGGTTCCAAGAACGAGTATATCAAGATCTCAATGAATTCAATAAACATGAGATTCAAGTTCGAGCCAACAAAATATTTATTCTCGGAAAGCATTCAATCGGAAAGCATTCAAGACAAGATTTTGAGAATAAATATTATTCAATATCGATTCAAGGAAAATGTTCGGGCCAAGGAATCAAGTATAGGAATTAGCCGTGAACATAGCAACCAAGAGAATTGACAAGTTCAAGATTTCAAGAACAAGATCAAGGTTCCAAGTTCGAGCCAAGGAAACGAATATGCTCGCAGAACATTAAGGATCATATTCCAAGAAAAATATAACAACTTAATCTACAAGTTTTATGAAGGCACAGAGCCCAAATTATGATCCCAACATATCGAAAACAGTCCCGCAAGCGGATAAGGGGTCATAGTTTCTCACCTGGAGTCCAATGCTAGTTCTATAGGTGCATCTTTAAGCTTAAACCTTGAGTGAGAGCTTTAGTACGCTCGACACTTATATTTTACGATGTCCTCTACGAGTTTCCTGAAGGAACTGATTCGAAATTCGCATTCGAAACCCTTTGATTTCGGCTCCGAAAACAGGTGCGGCAGCAGGTTTTGCTTCCCCAAAATCGCAGCGAGCAGGCTGACTTCTCAGCAAACTCCGGGGACCGCCGCCCGTGCAAACCATCAAGAACCACGACCAATAGAGAGCCAAACTCATTAGCTTTCTAACGATGGATCTATTCGTCAACCAATTAATGAATTGTTTACATCGTGTGAGTGGATGACTGAAAACATTGAAGGAACCTTGTGAACGTAACAACTTGTCTTCTTCGCCGGATTCCGGCTGCTGGAAATAGAACACCATCTCAGCCCCGTATCTTTCAACCATGTTGCTATTTTAAGATTTCTAGATTTACTAATTTAAAAATCAGAAGAACAAAGGTTCTAAAGGGGTGCTCGGCCGTGAGTTTTCATGGAGAAAGGAAGATACCATGAATATTGCTATTGCTAGAACTGTTAAATGAACGAGATAAAGATTGGTTAATTAAGAAAAGAGAGAGTGAAGAGATGAAGATGGTGAGAGAGAGAGAGGCGGTGAGAAGGTGAGAGAAGAAGAAGAAACGTGGCTGCCAAAGGAGTATTGTGAATTGACGATATACACGTCAATTCCTATCTCAACAATAAATTATGAAAATTGGCTATAAGGCCAAATTGTTTTCTTAATTACCAAATAGATGCCATAACTTTAGATAATTGCAATTCTACACTTCCCATCAAATTCGAGATATATTATAATTCCATATCGACACATATCAACTAAATAAATTCTATTATCCCCACACTTAAACAACTTACATATTTACGGGGTGTTACACGAATTATGCGTTGCTTTGGTTGAAAGTTCTGTGCTTTAAAATTTGGAGTTAATTTATGCCATATCATATGATGTTTGGTTTTAGAACTTGTCTTAGGAATTTTCAAAGTGAAATATTGAATCATTGAGTAAATTGGGAAGTGATTTGGGCTTTCTTTGAACCGTTTGAGACTTTCAAGCCTACCTTTAAATTTTTATCCTTCGAACTTTGATGGGCCTTGGAAAAATGGTGTTCTTTTATTTAGCCATGTTTAACGGATAGAATAGAAGTAAATTTCTTGAACATATCCCTTGGAGTATGGTCGGAAAAAAATAATGAATTCCTCTTCTTCTTCGTAAGAAAAAATAAAAAAGAAATAATTATAATAAAAAGGAAGAAGAAGAGGAGAAATATAAATAGAAGGGAAGGAAAGGACTTGGCAAAAATTTCAAAATCAAAACTCGAACCATCACTCCAAGAGTAAAAGTGAAGACTTTAGGTAATAATCCCTTAGAGGTGAAGCAATAATTCCAAAAGCTATATCACAGCAAAAACAACTCGAGTCAAGAACTAGAGCTGAAAAATCCTTAAGTGCAACTCTTAGTTACTAATTGTGAGATGAAAGGAGAAGAGTAGCCACTTTCACCGATATTTTCTACCTTGTACCAAAAGCCCAATATTTGAAAGCCAAAAAGTCCCAATGATCCCAATAGCTTAAGTATTTGATATTAGCCGAATAAAGAAATTTGATGAGCCTTTGGAGTCGAACATTATTATATAAGTATAAATTTTCTCCATTTTTTAGATTACAAATATGGGATACTTGAAGCGATAGCATGGTTTGTGGTTTTTAGCAATGGTAAGTGAATAAGTATCTTCGAATTACGAGCTTACAATTTTTTTAGAATTATCATGATAATTGCAAGTTATGAAAATGTGACGTTAACCATTGGTCTATGTGATGAGATGCATTTGTCGATTGTGTTGCTTTGAAAGTTGCTAGTTTTTGCTTGTCCTCAAGTATTTCTCTCACCCTATATTTAATCCCTCATCTCTCTCTCCCTCTGTATCTCACGCCTCTCTCTCTCTCGTGCTTCTCTGTTTATTTATTTATTTTTTCTTTAACTTTTTTATAATATTATAGAGAAGGAAAAAAAGGGGGGATCTTTTTAGATTATGAGATGATTTCTTGGTAAGAGAATTAAAGAGGACAACAAACATCCCTCCCCCCTCCCCAAAAAAAAATTAGAAATCCAAAATCCTAGCCAAAATTCCCCCTTTGTCTTCCGTACGTAGAACATTCCCATCATTTGTTATTAGCAATTTCCATTTGCAGGTTGGTTTTACTTCGTCTGTTTTTTGAAGAATTGCGTTTGATGTTGGGATTCGATTCCTCTGGTTTAGAATTTGCAAGGTATGTCTTAAGTTACATTTTACCAACAATTTGTTTAATATTTTTGCTGTTTGCAACGTGTTCCATAAACAATTTTTATTGTTGATGTTTAAATGATGCTGATTTTTTTTTTCAGTTTGTTATTTGCATTTGACGAAGTCATAGATAGTTTATTGTTTGCAATTCAATATTGCAAGTTCTGCTAATTTTGTTTCTTCAGTTTGCTGTTTTCATTTGGCAAAGTCATAGGTAGTTCTTTGTTTACAACACAATAATACAAATTCTGATTTTTTATTTCCAGTTTGATGTTTGCATTTAGTGAAATCATAGGTATTTTGTTATTTGCAATTCAATAATACAAATTCTAATTTTCAGTTTGCTATTTGTAGTTCACGGAGTCATAGGCGTCGCAGTTCAGGGAGTCACAGGCGGTGGCGGGGCGGCTATGGCGTTTTTAGAGTATGAGTTTGTAAATAAATATTATATTTTTTTACGAATTAATTTAATTTTTTAGTTAATATTTGAAAGAGAGATTGAGTATTAAATTTCAAAACTACTGCCAACTAACATATCACAGTAGTTGAAGCATAATATAATGAATATGTATCTAAAACATAAATTTATAAAAATAAATATTCGAAAAATCCGCAAAAAAAAAATGACTATATTTTCAAAAACCAAAAAAACTCACTCGATTTGATTAAAATTAAATACCTTTGAAATATTTATATCAATTTACAAATGTATTCTACCTTATTAACATATAACACTGCATTCTAAAACACAAACAAATCTAGCAATGGAGAAGAACAAAGTGTAACCATAAAGTATCTCCTTAAATGAGTAAGAAAAAAAATAGAAAACAATAGAAGAAGATTTAATAGCAAGCATCGTGCGCTCACTCTCATCTCTTGCATGTGGAATCTTTAATTTTGTTGATAAATTTGATCAACATAATCTTTAATTTTGTTGATAAATTTGATCAACATGTTCCTCCTATTATAACCAAAATAAAATAATTATATAGGTATTTATAACGGAACATTTCGAGAAAAAAATAATATGCATCGAAGTTCGAACAAACTAAAATAACATTTACACAAAAATAAACGTAAATCTCTATAATTGAATACAAATATGAAAAAAAAATATTGTGTTGACTCTATAGTGTTTTCGTGTGATTCCAAAAAGTGGGGTGTAGAGTATGAATGTAATTGAATGAGTTAGGATGGAGGGATTTTATACTAATTTTCGGAGAATAAAAAAGTAAAAGAAAAATGTTATGAAGGAAAGAGAGATTTATCGACATAAATTTAGAAGATAATTGAGGAAATTAATTTTAATTACACTTAGTGAATAATGACTAATTGACAAAATAATCAATTCATGTGATGTTCATTCTCAAAATAAATTTCTGAAGATTTGATTGTAATAAAAAAAATTTGATTTGATATTTATAATATATAGGATATAAATAACATTATGAAAAAAATGAGGATAATTAATTTTAAATTAAGCATTCATTTTATTATTACAATTTACAATTATCCACAAATGTCCAAATTAGTTATTTATACATAAATATTCATTGATTTTGATTTTAGGGCAAATGGCAAAAAGGCCCATCACATGGGACTTAAATGCATTTTGGTCCACAAAAAAAACAGTCTCTCAATTAAGTCCATCCCCATGTCTTTAGTCTAAAATACCCTCAATAATATAATTCTTATCAATTCCACCCATTATGATCTAACTTCCTTAATATTACACATTGACCCCGGATTTAAACAAATATATCACATTAACCCCCAAAACTTTTTTTTTTTTCAGAAAATAATTTTTTTTCTGAAATGTCCAAATTCCGGCAAGATTCCGGCGTTGACTTATTTTTTTTCGAAATTTTTTTTTTCCTGAAATTTTTTCCGGTCGGTCAACCGCGTTGACCGCCGGTCTCCGGCGTTGACTTTTTTTTTTTTTTTTTTTTTTTTTAATATTTTAATTAATATTACTGTTTTAGCTACTAAATTACTCTCTCTCAGACAGTAATATTACTGTTTGGGACAGTAATATTATGAATATTATTTTTTTCGAACAGTAATATTATGAATATTATTTTTCCGAACAGTAATATTATTAATATTATTGTCTAAGACAGTTAAATTACTGTTGAAGACAGTAATTTAGCATCTAAGGCAGTACTATTAATTAAAATATTTTTTTTTAAGAAAAAAAATGAAAAAAAGCCAATTAACAGTTAAATTACTGTCTCCGACAGTTAAATAACTGATGGAGACAGTAATTTAGCAACGAATACAGTAATATTAATTAAAATATTTTTGAAGAAAAAAAAAGTCAATTAACAGCTAAATTACTGTCTCCGACAGTTAAATAACTGCCGGAGACAGTAATTTAGCAGCCAAGACAGTAATATTAATTAAAAAAAATTTAAGAAAAAAAATTATTAAAAAACAAAAAAAAGTTAACGCCGGAGACCGGCGGTCAACGCCGGAATCTGGCCGGAAAAAAAACATTTCAGAAAAAAAAAATATTTTCTGAAAAAAACAAAATTTGGGGGGTTAATGTAATATATTTGTTTAAATCCAGGGTCAATGTGTAATATTAAGGAAGTTAGAGCATAATGGGTGGAATTGATAAGAATTAGGGTTAAAATTGGGGTCAAAAATGAAATTAGGGTTAAAATTGGTTAATTGATGAAATTGGGCTAAATTGGGGTGTAAATCATGAAATTGGAGTTGAATTGGGTTTCAATGAATTGGGGGTAATTTTGGTATATATAAAAGGATTTTCCTTATTTGCAAATAAGTTTGAATGGGGTGGATTTATTTGAAAGACAAAAAAGTTGGATGTCCCTCTTTTAATTAAGTGCCCTTATCATGGGCCTATTTGCCATTACACCTTGATTTTATAAGGAAATATTTTAAATGTTTAGTAATTATGGAAATGTGCATTGAAGAGCTTACTAAATATATAAAACCAATGTAAATTGATTTGATTCAAATTATCTATAGAAATAATTGACATCATTTAATACACAAATCCGGATAATTTATTTTATTTTGGGTTGAGTTTTCGATTTTATTTGAATTGAAATTGTAGGATTTTTAATCCGGAAATATAGTTTAAAGAAAATCAAATTCTATAATCGGCGGCAATCTATAAATAGGAATTAATGACAATTATTAGTTAAACACATTCTATGAAAATCAAAATTGAATATTTTACATATTAAATTAATATGATAAATATTTTAATTGATATTAATTGATTACGATTAAAGTTGATACCATGGAATATGGAAAAGATTTTACATATATTTGGTAAATTGTTATGACATAAGATATTATTTCTATGTTAAAATACCAATTAATGATCCGAATAATATTTTTGGCAAGTTTAGCCTAATCATCAATTAATGATGATAAATAAAAATGGAAGATATCAAAGTAATAAATAATGACATGTGTAAAATGAGTAGGATACCATGTAGATTCACACGGGTCGATGACATGGATGCCAAATGTCGGATTTCTAAGCTATGCGGGTTTCAATTTATATATTATATAGATTTTTGATAAAAACATAATAAGTGAAAGCAAAAAATAATAAATGCATAGGAAAATTAATAAAACACGTCCAATGCACATGCACCTGTCTAGTTATATGAAAAATACAAAACAAATCATGGATCATGTGCACGAGTCAGATTCGAGAGTCACGTTCACATTTGCGGTTCGACCACATAATAATTTTTTCGATATTATTAATACTAGTATTTCACTTATGCCGTGCACGAGATACCCTTTTGCAATAATAAAATATAGTATCTTGTGATCGTCTAAATAAAATATAATCGACACGTTCTACTTAAACCAAAAAATATGTAAACAAACCCAAATATCATAGACCTTCGTCTATAATGTTGTCTTAATAAGTGCAAAAATAGAATTCATTAATGAAACAAACTGCTAAAAATATTAAGTTGATGGCATAGCTATCCATGCCACCATGCACTTTTATATGGAACCTTGAGAAACATCCTTGCAAACCACATTAATAACACCATATAGTTAAATAAACCTGCCAATTAAGAATTTAAAGAGACAAGAATAACCAAAACCTGCAAATAAAAGAATCCAATGAAATTTGATATGCATTGTTTGGAACACTTACTTGGTAGTAACATTGGATGGTTCACCAGATTCGGACTTGATGAATATTTTCATGCCACATTTGGTTTTAACTTTTGACAGTGCAGCGTACAATTGACTATGACTGGAGGCAGGCCTTGGTAGATACACACCGACATGTGATAGAGTTTGAACTTGACTTTTATTGATTGACATTGCAAATGAAACAACCAACGGATACTGTCGTCTCTGAAATCGAAATGGTAAAGTAGAGTTCGATGGGACCATTGTCATTCGAGGAATGAATGCCATATCACCAGCCTTTTTGCCGGAAATAATCTTGCAGTTAAGAACGAAGGTGCCCATTTGAACAATTGTAAGCATAGTTCCCTCGCACAATCCTCCAGCTTGATCAATGGTTCTTATGAGCATGACAGGCACACCAACCTTGAGTTTCATGTTATGAGGAGGGAGTCCTGAGCAGATAATGTATTGAGGAATTCGACCGGATAAATTTCTTCATTCATTTCCGAATTCAATTCATCCTTGCATATACTATCCGCGCTCAAACATGTCTTCTCTTCCCCAGGTAAAAGAGACAATAAAAAAATGTTCAGATAGTCGACGCTTTCATTAGTCGGTGCAAGAATGAGCCTCCCCTTAAAATAACTCGGATCAGAAATCCTACTCAATAGATCTGGATAAACAAACTGGATTAGCTCTCGAAAGGAATCTCCCGAATCGCTAATTAGCATGTGGGGCGGAATCTCAATCGCACCATCATTTTGCTCTTCGGCATTCCGATTACCGATACTTAATATCCACTCTGCAAATAACATATTATTTCATAACATACGAAACGATAAAATGAACTATTGATTTGTGTAATTTTTAATTAACACCTTACCAATAGGTACATCGTATAGTTTAGATGTTTTCGATGAACTCGGTGATTTTCTCGTGTGGTCCATCTGATCACAAAATCCGATGTTTTCAGTTAATTTCTACACGAAATAGTACATTTAAGTCTCGTTTGGTTGCCAAGACAAGAATAGTCAATATAAGATTAAATAATCTAATGACAACCCTATTATTTTCTCTGACCCTATGACATCGAACAAAAAAGACCCCTCTAAGCAAGATAACTCAAGATAAATTGTGATAATATAATATTTTCTGATCGACCCAACAAGTTATTAAAGATAACAAACAACAAATAAAGTCCAATTATTTAGTTAATAATGACTAATCTCCCAAACCAAACGAGGCCTTACTATTTAAATTTCATATCATAAACTCATATTACAGTTTATTATACAGAAAATTCAATATGTCTCAAGAACGTTCTTATTCAATTTAATAAACAAATCAAATAGAACGTTTCGTAAATAAATGAATCAAATCGAACGTTCCGTAAATAAGTGAAAACATGATGATGGTAAATGAACATAAACATATGATGAATACACAGTGAATGGATCACAGATTCAAGAAACTGGATAGTTATATGTTCACCTTCTTATGTTCGACTTGTAGTAGAGAATTGGTACTGCTCTTCTGTATTCAAGTTCCTTGTAAAATACAACTATATAGATAAAATACATTGTTCAAAATATTTTCCATGAATAAATATAATCACGTAATTTGAGTAATAATCTTTTGGTGATTTTTAAGAATATTTTGTTTTTTTTTTTTTTGTGGGAAAAGATATTAAAATATGCTAATCTAATGGGATATACAGATTTTTTGAAAATCTGCAAATATAGAGATAGATACATAGAAAAATCTGCCCAAAGATTAGGGCAGCCATGCATATAGTTAGAAAATTGAGATAAATAAGTAAATAAAATATACTCAATAATAAATCTTATTAAATCTCTTTGGATGTGAAGATTAGTTAGAAAAAATAGAAAATTGGATGGTATTTTGGTTGGATTATACACACATACCGAGGATATTAATTTACATTAAAAGTACTAAATAAAAAATTGAATTAATAATGAAAGAATAGGAAAAAAAAATTAGATAATTGAGAGCAATATAAGAAATAAAATAAGATATGTATAATGAATTTTCTAATTATTTACGCATGAATAAATAATTAGAAATTTGAATCCAATATAAGAAAAACTAAATAAGATATGTAGAAAAATATTTAATAATTATTACGCGGGAAAATACTAATCAGAAAATTGAATCCAATATAAGATCCACGCACACGCAAACGTAGGAGATTAGTCAGAAAAAATATTGAAAACATGTTTAAAAAATTTAATGGGATTTTGGTTGGAAGATACACCGAGGAGATTAATTCACATTGAAAGTAAGAAAGTAAAAATTGAATTAATAATTATTAAAACTAGTAATTCACCCGTGCGATGCACGGGATCAATTTTTTTTAAAAAATTATTTTGGATAAAATAAAATGAACGAAAACTTTGAACATTAGACATACATGTAAATAATAGCAAAAAAAATATTTTATTGAATCAAAATATACATTTGTTTGTGATTTACCTTCATATTCACTGAAAATCTTTTGTGCACACAACATTGCTCGTAAAGTTAGTTATATCGCCCGATTTTGAATTCATAAATATATTTATCTCAAATCTACTTTTAACTCTGGATATTGCGGCATACAATTGCCTATGCCACCCTAATATTGACACTAATATTTCTCTAACAACAACTTCTAATACTAATACTAAAACCAACATTGATAATACTAATACCAATACTAATATTAATACTAAAACCATCACTAATAATATTAATATCAACACTACTATTAACCAACCCTCATTAGGAGAGTTGGTACCTAGCATTTACCAATAGGGTAAAGGTTTAGGGTTCGAGTCCCCCCCCTCCCATGCTTCCCCTTGTAATGGACTTGAATTTACTCAAAAAAAAAAAAAAAAAAATCAACATACTATTCATAATAATACGCCGATTTTAATACTAATATTTAATGTTTAAACTAATACGCTAATACTAATAAGAACACTAATACTCGTAGGGTTCGTTCGGTTACCTATATTGGGTTAGATTGAATTACATGAGATTGGATTAACTCCCTATTGACTAATTAACTATTTAGCTAGTAGCATGTTCGGTTTCCTAGATTGGATTTTCTATTAAATTTATTAAAATCAGTCATTATATATGAATTGTCTATAAAACCACTTAGTTTACAATAATAAATTATAATTTTAAGGACAAAATTGTATTTTTTCTTATTTGCCACCCCCTATTAAATTAATCCCAGGGGGAGGGGTGCTACTAATTTAATGAAATAGTAGCATTCAATAGCGGACTTTGATTTTAGTAGCGGGTTTGAAAAAGTGTGAATCTTGCCAACCGGACATGTTATTAGCCCCTACTAATTAGTCAGTAGATACCTTATAGCGGTAACCGAACGAGCCCGTACTAATACTAATATTAATACTAATACTAATACTAATACTAATACTAATACTAATACTAATACTAATACTAATACTAATACTAATACTAATATTAATACTAATACTAATACTAATACTAATATTAAGACTAATGCTAATGTTAATACTAATACGCCAATACAAATATGAATTCAAATACTAATAATAATACTAATAATGATAATAATAATGATAGATACCGATACCGATACTAATACTAATACTCATACTAATACTATTATTAATACTAATACCAATAATAATAATGATAGTAATAATGATAATAATAATTATATTGATATTGATACTACTACTGATATTTATATTGATACTAGTATTAATACACATACTGATACAGATACACATATTGATACTGATACCGATGCCGATACTAATACTAATACTCATACCAATACTATTATTAATACTAATACACTAGGCAAAAACACAGTTCTGGCGACGTTAAATTTTGCGACTAAATCAAAATCGTCGCACAGTTGCGACGATTCCTACTACATTAGTCGCAACAGTTTAAATCCCGCTTTTGACTCAAAACCTTTGCGACGTAACTGGATTATTGTCGCTGTGTTGCGTTGAATCGTTTCCTAAACGTCGCAACGAGAAAACAAAATAATTTTCACATATTTTTTAGACGAAAAAGTGACAAACGTCGCGCAAAGTAATTTTTTTTTTTTTTTTTTAAATTATATTATAGCGACGAAATACAGAGAATCTACGCAAGGAGTTTGAAAAAAATATTTTTTTCTTCAATCCCTGCGACGAAATGTACGTCGTCGCAATTAGAATAATTTTTATTTTATTTATTATGTTACCCTGCGACGAATTGTGACTAAACGACGCAACAAAATTGCATTTAATTTTTTTCCCGTTGCGTCGATTTCGTAAAACGTCGCAGTTAGAATAAATTATTTTCCCTTTATTATTTTTAATAAATATTGCGACGAATATTTATCCGAAACGTCGCAAGTGTTTTCTCTTTCCCAAATTTTCGAGCCCAGATTGCTACGAATATATAAACGTCGCAATGGAATTAATTTTTTATTATTTTGTAGCGACGATTGATATGAAATCGACACAATGAATTAATTTAAGATTTATTTTTATTTCATTTTCGCGTCGATTTAGTGGAATTCGTCGCATAAAAGAATTGGGTTAAAAACCTAATTCGTTTCAGCCCAACTCTCTCTCTCTCTCTCTCTCTCTCTCTCTCTCTCTCTCTCCTCTTCTCACTCTCTCTCTCTCTACTGTTAGGGATCTGTTCCGGTGTCTTGCCGCCGCCTCTGCCGTTGCCTTGCCGCCGCCTTGTCGCCACATTTCCCTGCCGACCTCTCCCCTCGTAGTGAGTGCCTTTAATTTCTGTAATTTTCCTTTAATTTCTCCCCAATTACAAATAAAACAAAGACAAGGTGTATGGATATTTGTGTATGTGTGCTGATTTTGTGTGTATGTGTTGATTTAGGGTGCATGGGTCTGCTGATTTTTTGTGTATGTGTTGATTTAGTGTGTATATGTGTGCTGATTTTGGGGTGTATTTGGGGGTGTATTTGTTGATTTTGGAGTGTATTTGGGGGTGTATTTGGGGGTGTATTTGCTGATTTTGGGGTTTATTTGGGGGTGTATTTGCTGATTATGGGGTGTATTTGCTGATTTTGGGTTGTATTTGGGGGTGTATTTTTGGGGTGTATTTGAGGTTTTCACTTTGGGGGTGTATCATAACAGACTAAATATTCCAGCTGCTTCGTACTGCAACGTACCCAATTTTGATAACGTCTATTTTAAGTTTTTAACTGCATATTATATATTAAGCTTTCATTGATTTCAACCAACTTGGAATTAATTAATTAATTACATCTATTTTCAATTTCTAGGACAAAATCAAAATGGAAAGAAATATTGTTGTGACCTTCAATTTGTTTTGTGCTCTTAATTAGTACCGATGGACATCATGATCTTGTGATTTTAAGAATGATAAATTAAAAATTACAAACAGACCATTGAAAAATATTTGTAATTATTCAAACACGTGGCCAATCCATGGTTATAAGCTTAGTTTCGATGACGAACATTTTCAATGAAAAGTTCTCCTTTCGTTCCGTTTGTTTGTGATGTATTAGAGCGATTAATATTTGATTATCTGTCGGGGAAATCGAAGTTTCTGTTCTTCTATTCATTCATTTTTCTTTTGGCCGTCTTGAGAACTTAATGATGACTATGTTGATCTTTCATTTGAATCTTTATTTGATAATGCACTTATGAACAACTCTCTTAATTTTGTTGACTTGTTGACTGAAGGCACTCATTGCTTTGAAGAAAGGAACACAACTAATCAAGTATAGCTGGAAAGGGAAGCGCAAGTTTTGTACATTTAGACTTTCTCGAGTAAAAAATTATCCTTTCCCTCACATTTACCACGACAAAGTTTTTCTGTATTCATTTAACTTTGTTGTCGCATGTTAACGCAAACTTATATGATGCAACTTATCTCTTCCTTCCGATTTTTATGCGTTCTAAATAGTAGAAGACAGTCTACATTTCCATTTATTAAAAATACTTATTAAATATTGAATAATTCTTTTTAGCAATTGATTTATAAATAAATCAATAATTATGTAAAACTGATTATATGATTATTATGTTAATAAAAGAAATATTTGTGTGCGTGGTTCCGTAAAATTTCTTCTCATTTCGGAAAAGTGGTAAAGGGCAGTATTGGGAGTTCGGAAAATTTCTTCTCATTTCGATTATTTTTTTTCTATATTAATTAATGCATTCTACATGATAAAAACAATATTTTGAATAACTGAAATATTTGTCATGCTATTTTTTACCAGCATCAGTAAGACTATTTACTTACTACAAAATGGCAAAGGATAGGAGTTGGGTTTTGATAGATGATCATCGATTAGATGCATTTCAAAAGGGTTGTGAAGAATTTTTGGATTTTGCTTTTAATAAGGCTGCGATTGATAATAAAATACGATGTCCATGTCGAGATTGTGAGTGTAGAAAAATTGGGGATCGGGAATTTGTCCATGGACATTTACTTTGGAGGGGTTGGGATAAATCTTATGGTTTAGGCCAATGGGTAATGCACCTAGAGTCTGAGGAAGAATATCGTCTCGGGCATCAGGTTTTTGAAACAAATGAAGCTGCTGATTTCAGAATTTCTGAAGTTGAAGAGGTGAATGAAACTGATGGTGGTGCGAGCGATCGTGAGAACATGGAAGAATTGTTTGCTATTTACTTTCTATTATATGTGTCAATCTTCTTATTTCTTTTCCTTAAGCAATTTCCTTTTGCTAATTAATTTATGTTTAAGTATATAAATCTTAAACTTATTGTTATTGTTTATCATATACTCAGAATAATAATTAGAGACAAAAAGAAATTAATAATGAATATTAATTGATATGATTCAATATAATGTTTAAATGGAAACTATATTATTGACAAGTAGTAGTACCTACATTTGACTCATGTTTTATGTATCTTCTTTTAATTAAGTATTAGTATTACTATTACTATTAGTATTACTATTAGTATTAGTATTAGTATTAGTATACATATCAATATCAATATTAGTATTAATATAAATAACAATATCAATATCACTATGAGTATGAGTATGAATATGAGTATGAGTATGGGTATGAGTATTAATATGAGTATGGGTATAAGTATAAGTATGGGTATAAATATCAGTATCAGTATCCTTATAAGTATCAGTATCAATACAAGTATCCGTATAATATGAGTATCAGTAACATTAATAGTATCAATATCAGTATCAATATCAATATCAGTATCACTATTAGTATTAGTATCACTATTAGTATTAATATTAGTATAAGTATTAGTATTAGTATTAGTATTAGTATTATTATTAGCATTACTATTAGTATTAGTATTAGTATTAGTATTAGTATTAGTATTAGTATAAGTATTAGTATTAGTATTAATACTAGTATTAATATTATTATTATTATTATTATTATTATTATTATTATTATTATTAGTATTACTATTAGTATTAGTATTAGTATTAGTATTAGTATTAGTATTAGTATTAGTATTAGTATTAGTATGGTATTAGTATCAGTATCAATATCAGTATCAGTATTAGTATCAATATCAATATTATTATTAGTATCAGTATCATTATCAGTATTAGTATCATTATCAATAACAACACTAGTATGAGTATGAGTATGAGTATGAGTATGAGTATGAGTATGCGTATGAGTATCAGTATCAGTATCAGTATCAGTATCAGTATCAGTATCAATATAAGTATCAGTATCAGTATCAGTATCAGTATCAATATATGTATAAGTATATTGGTATTAGTATTGGTATCACTAGTAGAAAACCGGCCACAGGCGACGAACACTTGCGACAAAAATAGGAGTCTTGCGAAGAAATTAGGACTCGTGCGACGATTTCGGTTTCGTCGCTCTGGGGGTCCAAATTCGACGCCAATGATCCCGTCGCAAATGCTGCGACGAACGCTCGGTTTTGTCGCTAGTGGGGCGACGAAGTACATTTTCATCGCACAAAGTCGATTTTATATAATAAATTAGATTTTTGTGTTTGCGACATTTATATCTACACTATCGTCGCCGTTTGTGCGACGTTTTTTTTATTTTCGTCGCAAAATAAAAATTTCAACAAAAATAAAATAATATTAGTTTGCGACGAAATATATATATCGTCGCAACGTATTGCCACGATATTTCTCTGTTCGTCGCCAATGTTTGCGACGAATGTTAACTATTCGTCGCAATATTTAGTTTTACCAAAACAAGATTTACGACGAAATATAGTACATCGACGTACTTTATTTGCGACGAAAATGATTATATTCGTCGCAAATGTTACTGTACAGTTTTATATATATATATATATATATATATATATATATATATATATTATATTATTTTATATAATAAATTACCTGTAAATAATTATTAATTTCACTAAAACAATTAAACTACTAAATTAAATTACACAGCAGTTTTAAAGTTGAAGTCTACATAAAATTAAATACCAAGTCAACAGTACATATATGAATCTAGAATTACATAAAAACTTAGAAAAATATTGTAGCATTAGAAAATGAAATTAATCCCGAATTGAGTCGTTCTTCGTCGTCATTTGAAGTACCCGAATTTGGAGTTTTGGAGACGGGCTGATCGACAATTCCTTTTTGTCTTAAAGTATTGAGTAATGAGTTCAAAGATTCTTTAAGTGAGCTCACTTCATCTCGCGATTCTTGCAATTCTCCTTCTAAAAGCTCGACTTTAGTCTCCAACTCTTCATTTCTAACAAAAGAAAATCTTGATCTTGCAACTTTCTTAGTGGTTGAGCTTTGAATCCCAAGTACTTTTGTCTTACCCAACACTCTTTCACAAGCTATTGAGTCGGCCGTACTTTAATCTTTCCATCATTAATACACTATTCGTATACTCTTTCCAAGTCTTCCTGAAAATACAAATAAATAACCATAAATTCATAAATTAAAAAAAAAATTGGGCAGCATAACATCTATTATATGGACATACCAAAAAAATATCAATACATAGAAAACACATCAACAAATTCAACATATATACCAAACAATAGATCAAACACAATTTAACATATATACCAAACAATAGATCAAACACACAATACCAAAACAAAAAACCCAAGAACTAATTCAACATACAAAACAATTAAGGATGAAAACTTACCGCCATAGCACGTTGTTTAGGAGTTCCAATCCCAGTATATGGTTCTGCCCTCTCACCCTCCTCCGTGGATGACCCGGATTCCACGAATGGCATCAATGGGTCGATACGCATATAGCCTTTTTTATATTTATCAACTACGGTAGGAGCTTTACCAAATTTTTGAAGCTGTAATAAAAATTTATAAAAAAAATTAATATAAAATATACATGAATATAATAAGAAAAATTTAACAAAAAATATATAAGACTAGATTTACATGTTCATGAGACCACCCAATAATACTAGTTCGACCCCAATGGTGGTCGGTAGGGATTTTCATTCGGGATTCTCGACATTTATCAGACTTGGACAGTGAATATACACATACTAATAAACTTCGATTAAATTTATTTGAAAATGACAAATTAGAAAAAAAAAATCAAAAGAAATTTATTCACACAACAGGCTATATTGGATGCATAGCCGTTAAGAACCTTAATGTTTGATATAACATCACAAAGCGATTTCTTAGACTGGACAGACATCTTGTGATACTTCCCAAGTTTTGGGACTAGAGTGGGAAACCGTGGACCAATCTTACCAGATGGTGGTTTTTTTATCTTTTCAATGTCCTCCTTTGCATTTTCAAAACCATCATTTTTGCTAACAAGATTTAATAGCCACTTTAGTAACAATGCCCCAATATTCTTCTCAATATGCATGACATCCAGGTAATGACGTATCAAATTATCTTTCCAATAAGGCAATTCAAAGAAAATACTTCTCTTTCTCCATTGAGAATCTCTATGAACTGCTTGGCCTACGCCAAATACAACGTCGATTCCCTCCGTTTTTGATAAGACATCTTCCCCGGATGGTGAAGGTGGTGCCCCTTCCTCTGGAAAGCGGCTATGTCCCATAAAACATTGTTTGTTTGACTTGTAAAAACGCTCAGATACGGTATCTTCAGCACAGCTAGGACAAGCAAGATAACCGCTCGTGCTCCACCCCGATAAATTACCAAGTGCTGGGAAGTCATTAATAGTCCACAAGAGGGCCGCTGATAAGTGTTCGTTTTGCACAACTTTTACTTATCTAATCTTCGTGTTTTGGTCTTCATTCGTCCGAGTTTTCGGCTTTATTTGTATATATTATGTTGTTTTTGTTTTATTTATATTTTTAGGTAAAGATAAGCTATTTTTGCCGATTCGAGACGATTTTGGAAGCGAAGCCGAGAACCAAACCAAACACGTGCAAAAGTGCATTCTCGCGGATTGTGGCAGTGTTTGGTATTTAAAGCATAACTTTCTCATGCGACCTCCGATTGAGCTGATTCAAGTGGATTTAGAAAGCTAACTTCAAGGGCTACAACTTTTGTGAAATGCACAATTGTCGAATTCGGGCTGAAAAAGGGTCAAAACAGTGTTTGAAGTTGATGCAGAGGCCAGATCGCGATCCAGCATCACCGGATCGCGATCTGGTGGAAAATTCCAGTAGCAGCGAAAAGTTGGGGCAGATCGCGATCCGCACTTCCTGGATCGCGATCTGGGAAGGCGGTGGGCAGTTGTCGAGGTTGCCAGATCGCGATCCAAGAATCCCAGATCGCGATCTGGGCACAGAAATCGAGACTAGATATTTTTCTTTGATATCTCACTATAAATAGAAGGTCTCCTTTTCATTTTTCGATCTCTCGATAATATCTCGACCATCTCTCGACTTTTTCTTCGGTTTTCTCTTCGGTTCTCGCCAGTTCTTCGCGGGAAGCTTCGACGAGGGTTTCGACTCGG